ATAGCCCATGTTCTCGGTGAGGTCGATGTACTGCTGGCATTCGTCCGGCGTCAACACGTCGTACAGCAGAAACACGCCCTGTCGTCGCGACAGCCCAAGCAACGTCAGTTTCGCATGGTTGTGCCCATCTTCAAATCTCGATCGAGATTTTTTGTAGCGGCATGAAAGTTGGAAGTGGGTGAAGGTGAAGGGATGAGCGTACGGGGACGGGTGCATCGACTTTGCGGATTTGTGTGTGTTTCTTGCTGGGCGAAGCGTAGGTGATCGGGTTGGCGGTGTCGGTCTTGAAAATGTTTACACCGCTTTCCTTCCCCTGCACGGCAAACTTTATCTCTCTGTCCTTCTGCATGGCGCGTGTTCGAACACTTTGTGCTGTGTGCTTGCGTGGAAGTCCTGCAAGTGGCTTATTTCTACTAACTTGTCTTCATCTTCAGCGTATTCGGTGCAGTGCAGTGAAGGCCAGTCTTCCGCGCTTTTCTTTTAAAATTGTTATTACAAAAATAGCTCGCCAGAGGAAATGGAAAAAAATTCGGAGTTCCTAACAAAATTTCATAAATGCAAAATTGTCGGTCGTCACTCGTCGGCGTGGCGGGCGGTCTTGGCCTTCCTCTGCCGCAGCTGGCCTTTCCCCTCACCTTCTCCTTCCTGCTCCTCGCCTACAGGCTTGGAGTCGACGGCCGCCTCTGATGGCTTCTTGCTCTTCCGCTTCGTCGTCTCGCCCGTGGAGGTCTTCTCCTTGCCGCTGCTCTCGGAAGCCGACCGCGATGATGTCGAGGGCGATGACGATGAAACCACATCATCACCACCGCTGGCGGTCATGGCGGCCTTCGTGGCCTTGGCGGCCTTGGCGGCCTTGGCGGCCTTGTCCGAGAGTCGGATCTTGTCGACGACCTTGTACTTGTGGCTGAAGTAGGTCGTCTTCTTGGGCAGCACGTAGATCGCTGGAACGCGCCATTCACCACATCACGAATCAGAACAGCACTCACATGCGTGTCGTGTGTCGTGTGTCGTGTGTGTCGTGTGTCGTGTGTTGATGTGGAAGAGGGGTGGTACCGATGGCATCGACTACGACGGTGGCGATGGCCATCATGCCCAGCCCCGAGCACAGGTTGACGATGAGCACCTGCGCCGAGAAGCGACCGATCTTCCCGGTCTGTGCGAAGTTGACCTGGATGCCCTGCTTCACGCTTCGCACTCGATGGGTGTCATTGAGCTTCTTCACCTCTACCATTTCCGACTAATACAACCCAACCAAGAAAAAGCGATAAGGCCAACGTTGAAGAGCGTGTGTCGTGTGTCGTGTGTCGTTTGTGTGTCGTTGGTCGTGTCGTTGGTCGTGTCGTGTGATGATGAGGCGTACATTGGATTCAGGGACGCGGTAGATGCGGTAGCGGTAGCTGATGTCGCCCTGTCCGAACGCGCACTTGAGCTTACCATCGCAACGGATGTTGTTGTACCTGTGCACGCCAAAACGTGTGTTTCAGGCGCAACGGTCACACAACAATGCCGCAGCGGCAACATGGCGCTGTGTATGTACGCGAGGTCGGCGTGCAGGATGAGCCCGCTCGCTCGGAGCGGCTTTCTCTCCTGTCCGGGCGCATCGCCTGGCAATCGGAGTCGGCAGCGGTTAGTGAACGCGAAAAAGAAAAAGAAAGAAAAAGAAATGAGTTAAGCCGAGCGAGTAGTAAGTAGTAGCGTACTGAGGTCGTTGAGGGTGACGTCAGCCGCGGCGAGGAGCTCCGTGAGTTTGAAGTGATCGCATTCGCCCTCGGGGAATTCTTCAGCACCGCCTTGGCGTCTCCCTGTCCCCTTGGGTACCAAGGTATCAGCGACGTGTGTCGTGTGTCGTGTGTCGTGTGTCGTGTGTCGTGTGTCGTGTGTCGTGTGTGTCGTGTGTGTCGTGTGTGTCGTGTGTGTCGTGTGTGTCGTGTGTGTCGTGTGCCGTGTCGAATGTGGGGCACGGTGGTGAGTACTTCATCAGGACACCCTTCATGTGCAGGTTGCCTTCGGCGAAGGCGTGCGAGTGGCCGGACTCCTCGAAGAAGTGCGGCGCCTGCATGCTGTGGTACACTCCCAGCTGACGTCGCCCCCCCGGCAGATCGTGAGCCCAAGTCTTGAAGCCCAAGAGCTGGGCGTGGCCGCGATACCTCAAAGTTCTCGGTATCGGCGATGAAGTAGTCATCGTGCGACACCTCCTCCCAGATCGCTCCACACGACACTTCGGTTGGCCCACACACTCGCTTCTGTTACGTGTGTGCGGAATGATGAGCTTAGCTCTTCACTCCATAATAAAACATGTGTAGAGTGGATTGACTACCTCGAGGTAGCGCTGCACGCGGGTCGTGATCAGGGCTGCGTGCGTGCCTCGCTGGACGAGTATGTCATCGTCGTCCCAAATCAGACAGGGCTGCAGTCATCACCATCACCACCATCACCACGTACATCACTAAACAGTTTAGCGCCTAGACGACTACTACTCAGCGTATACGATACGCAGAGCACAGAACAGCTCGTCGTCGTACCTTGGCGTCGTGCGCAGAGTCGGAACTTTGGCGGCAGTAGGTCAGGAGGCGCGTATCGATCAGGTCCGGAGGGTGGCCGGCCTCGCTGGCGTGGTGCTGGCGCGTCAGGTGCAGAGACAGCCCGCCCACGATGTGCGGCTCGTACTCGAGATAGCCCTGCGTTGTGCGCGTTTGCCACGTCATCACGAGGCCACAAGATGGGGTGGTGGTCGGGCACGAACCTTGTGGTAGACGATGGTGGACGCTGTGTAGGCCAGGGCTCCGAGAACGAGCGCGTAGTACAAGGCGCT